CTACTATTAGGGGGTACCCTTAGGTCCTCCAGTCCTACTATTGGGGAGTACCCTTAGGTCCTCAAGCCCTACTATTAGGGGGTACTCTTAGGTCCTCAAGTCCTACTATTGGGGTACCCTTAGGTCCTCAAGCCCTACTATTATGGGTACCCTTAGGTCCTCCAGTCCTACTATTGGGGGTACCATTAGGTCCTAAAGCCCTACTATTATGTGGTACTCTTGAGTCCTCCAGTGCTACTATTGGGGGTATCCTTAGGTCCTCCAGTCCTACCATTGGGGGTACCCCTATGTCCGCAAGCCCTACTATTCGGGGGTGCCCTGAGGTCCTCTAGTCCTACTATTGGGGGGTATTCCGATACTAGGACTTGAGGACCCAAGGGTACCTCCCCATAGTAGGACTTGTGAACTTAAGAGTACCACCAATAGAAGGACTTGAGGACCCAACGGTATCTCCTAATAGTAGGGCTTGAAGGCCTAAGGGTACCCCCCAATAGTAGTACTGGAGGCAAGGGAAAACAGCTGATTATTTGATTAGGAGTGATTAGGAGTTGATTAAGGGTGATTAGAGGTGATTATGAGTGATTAGAAGTGATTAGGGATGATGAGGGATGATTAGGAGTGATTAGGGGTGGTTAGGAGTGATTATGAGTGATTATGAGTGATTAGAGTGATTAGGAATGACTAGGAGTGGCTAGCCAAAGCCCGTGCATACTGCACGGCTGTTTCTTGCCTCTGCAAAGTTCCGCATCTATGCTTTAACGTTGACCCAGTACAGACAATCACACACTTTGTGTTGTATGTCAAGGCCTTCTAATCTTATCCTCTTGTAGCTTTACACCCATATAGCCTTGCCTCCTGGGAGCCTTGAATCATTCTGACCTTCGCGCTTTATTGTCTTATAGCTGGGTATACACGGATGCACCGATAACAGCAGTTGACATTACACAGGCGTTCGGGACGGCTATTCTGTACACGTATGCATACGACTTCCAAGCCTGTCCTAAGGGGGTATCCACAATTCTTCAAATCTATACTACCGAAGTATCCATAAGCTTTCAAGGCCTATGTTATTGCGATATCCATAAGTTCTCAAAGGCTATCTCAGTGGTACTTCCAAGTCCTCATGACTAATCCTATGGGCGTATGCAAAAGTCATCAACAGTTATCGTATAGACATTCCCATTAGTACATGCATGACACCTACATTTCATGGGAGTTGGCCTGCTGACCCGTTCTTGAGAGTGATGGCTTATGAATGTGTCCACAGCATAGACTTTGACCACTTATGGGTTTGCATTTCATAGGATAGGCCCTGAGAACTTATCGTTACCCTTATAGAAAAACCGTTAAGGACCCATGGGCACCTCCATATAATAGTCCTTGAGGATCCATGGGTACCACTATAGTATAGGCTTTGAGGACCCATGGGTACCTTCATAGTATAGGCTATGGGTAGGCATGCACCAAACCCAAACTCAAATCCAAGCCGTTTGGGAGTTTGGGTTTGGGTATTGAGTTTGGATTTGAGTTTGGGTTTGGGCATTGAGTTTGGGTTTGAGTTTGGGTTTGGCTTCAATACTAAGACTACTTAAATGATTTATTTTTTAACTTGGATCTATATCTATTTACCTTATTGTTTTCCTATACTTGTTTCTAACTTATAACTACTATTCAAAAAAAATAGAAGTCAACTTTAAATTAGACTAGAAAGAGCTAGTATTTGTAACTTTTTTGGAATTATCTTGAACTTGTATTCATATCTTTTTAACGGCTACTCGGATGTGATGCTTGTAACTTTTAAGGGCTATTGGGGGTCAAGGGAGAAACAACGGACTGTCGACCCTGAGAACTGTGCAAGAGCTTAAATGACTGCGAAAGACTTCATGAGACCTATAAGACTTCAAGAAATTTCAAAGACTTATGGAACTTTACGAGATGTCAGTAGACTTAAAGATACTCAAAGTTATAGCTTTAAGACGTCACAGACCTTCAGAGGACTTCATGATACTTCAAAAAACTTCACCAAACTTCGAGACTAAAGTCTTCGACATTTTCTTTTTGCTGAAGGTCGTAGTCATAGCTTTTTAGTATCAATTAAAGCTGTTTAGTGAAATTTTTCCAAACCAGCTGAAACTAGTATCGATGAACATACACAGATACTCGGTATCGTAAGTAGAGATGTGCGGGATCAAGTCTTTTTTAGCTCCAGGTCCTGTTCACTCCCAGTAATTTACTCCCATTGATCTTGGCCGTAGACCCAGCAAATTTGATGTAATCCTAGTCCCGGTCCTGGTTTTGATGACTTCAGTTTTTCGGATACCGGCCTAGCAGTTCTAATTGTGAGTGAAAACAAAAAGTGCTGAAAACTAAAGTAAAGATGAAGATGAAGATACAGGGTGTCTCATAAGTTGTGGCAGATTTTTTTAAATCTAATTTTTGATGATAATGAATACAAATTAAACTCAAACTTATACATATGACACGGCTTAGCATGTACTTTTATTTCATATATTTTATTTGGATTAGATCATTGAATATACAAGAAAATAAACAAATTCAATGAACATACCCTCCATTGACAAATATCAAAAGTCTGCATTTTTTCGCTACTTTGTTAGTTTTTTCTCCAATTACTATTCCTATGGGAGTAAGTTTTTACAAAAGAAATCACACATTCTGATAGCACTTGAAATGCTCTATGATATTATGTATTAATACAGTGTCTTAAATTTAAGTAGCGAAAAAAAATGCAAATTTTTTGGGCTAGTCGATTCGGAGTATATTCATTGTATTCAATTTTATTTCAATCTATAAACGCAAGAAAATAAGTAAATAGACAGGGTGATAGAGAATTTTAAGCTCTATCAGAATCTATAGTTACTTTTTCATACAGATCATTCTATACGGATGAAAAATTTTTAAAACTAGTTTTGATGACGAAGGAAAGATCAAGTCTGGGAATCTGGACATGAGGGTGCCTTCGTTGTCTTCAATTTATTTTGGTAATGAAAAGGTCAAAACTAAAACCTAATTCTACAGAATGATAGAAAACTCCGCGAGCTTTCAGAATATGTAATTAGTTTTAAAATAACTTATTTTTATAGTGACAATATATGAGAAATACAGAGTGAAACTTTTGTCGGGGTATATATATTGTAACACATTGATGGTGTGCTTATTTTGCACATGTACCAATTTCTTTATTTTTTTGTATATCCAATGATTAAATTCAAATAAAATATATGAAATAAAAGTACATGTTAAGTTGTATGATACGTGTAAGTTTGAGTTTGATTTGTATTCATTATCATCAAAAATTAGATTTAAAAAAATCTGCCACAACTTATGAGACACCCTGTATATTTTATGGCAAGACGTATCTTTCTGGCCATAAAGAATGTTTCAGCATGCTGAATATTATCATGTGGCTGAATAGTTATCTTTATTTGTGTTCTTTTCTCTTCATGTTTATATCGCCTCTATGTTTTTCGTTCTCAGAATTATGAAAATATAAAAGAAGAAGGAGGTCAAGCATAACAATGTAAGAGTAAAAATGAGGGTGAAGATAAACAAGACTTTTGTTTCTGAGCATTTTCATTTTTTCAACGTCTCTATCTTTCGATCTCTATATTATTTTACTTGTCGACATTTTTACTTTCGATCAAAGTTAGAAAAATCACCTTTTCCGGTTTAGATCTCGACTGAGAGAAAACTATTTTAGAATTTATTCGTATGATATTTTTAAAAATTCTTGAATACTCAGTTTTTGATGTATTCAGCCGATGAATATCCTTTTTTGGTCAGCTTTGCTAAATGTTGTCTTGATTGACATGATTTATAAGATAATTCGCTTAAAAATATAAAACATTTTGTAGTCTTTAGTTTCGGTTACGACAACTTTTTTCTGGTAGTTCTGTCCTAGTTCTGGTAACATTTCATCTTAGTCCCGCATGGTCCCAGTCGTGAGTGGAAATGCGGTCTCCAAGAGTTTGATAACTTCTAAAAACTTCATAAGATTTTAGGAGGTCACAAAGATTTGGATATCTTTAATCAATGTTCGTCAAACAGTATGATATTTGAAACAGACTGCAGAAGACATAGGAATTCTGTGAAGCTTCATAAGACAAAGATGGGCAACTCCAACTTGAAATCAGAGTTAACGCCAGAGTTGGCATGTTTTTTCGACAGGAGAGGGACTGAGGTTGGAGTAGTATTTTGCGAATAATGGATGAAATTGAAGTTAAGATTGTTAACTGATATGTAGAGTTGGAATGGAGCTAGATTTAGCTTAAATCGAAGTTGAAGTAGAACTTTTTAA